GTGGTTGGTGAACACGGCTGGAGGAAAGAGACCGGAGGCATTCGCCCTCCGCTCTCGGGGTCCTTTCGCTTTCGCGCGAGGTGGGGACCGAACGTTCCATCATGGCGTCTTACAGGGGCTATGTAAGTGTTTCGGGAAAGGGTGATTGTTCTTCGACGATATTTTCGCGTTCGATCGGATCAGGTGCGGGGAGTCTGGTGGAACACGGGATTCGCGGTCGGTGCGGATGCGAGTTACGCCGCGATTTTGAGCCCGCTTAATTGGGAATTTCGTTTCGTCCGGTGGGACAACCGAACCCTTGTTTACGCGTCTGCACAGGCCCGCTGCATGGTGTCTTCATTAAAACGGTGCAACACGGGGAAGTTATAATTGGTGGCTTGTGTGAGACAGATTTTCGCGAAGCTTTAGAAAGAGAACGGCATATTGAATTTACTTTGTCGTACTTTTGTTCTAATTCGATACATCTTCTCAAGTAAATGGAACAATAGTCACACAAATAGTCAGTAAATAATAGGTTAATTGATATTTGCTACGCCAATGATTAAACCTTCAGTTGAAGTTAATAGATACTAGTGTTCTTGAAAGATTCTTGACAATCAAGTAATCCCTGCGAGGCTAGTCACGAAACGAATCGCAAGACAGAAAACTAATGTGTTTGCACATCTAATAATTACCACTGTAAATTAATAACACTATAAAATAAATTACTACAAAATAAGATTATCACTCTTACATCAATAATTAAAAGCTTCCACAACACAATAAACCAGTGTCATACTTTAGAACCCGGAAATTCCAAAAGCGAACTAAAGCCGTTCTGCCCGGTACTTCGTGTCCGTTAAAAATTCCTGTGAGCGTAGCACGCGTGCAGCGTGGCCAGCACAAGAAACTCCGTGTTCCGGTGCGGCAGCTACCGCAGCCCTTCATTCGGCCGAGTAAAAATCTCGGTCACGCCGGAGATAAACGTAATTTCCATTCGACCGATGGAATCGATGCTGGTCGCGATACGGCCGACGCCCGCGATATTTAACCACGTGCCTCCAGCAAGAGCGCATCGCGGGACACGCGCGATCGGGCCGGCGCATAATGGACGTCGACGATTTGCATTCGCGTATGCAACGGCGTGCAAAAGTGACACCGCTATCTCGCATCTCGGCGACGCGAGCTACCGGCACGGCACGACGCACCTCATTCGTCGTTTCTTGCGCGTTATCGCGAAAAATTGACCGCCTCAACACTTTACCTACCGGCTTACTGGAATGAAGACGCGTCGCTAATACCAACGACGTGTTACTGTGATTTATTTAGTAGGGGGTAATTTTAAAATACTACAAATTGCGTATAGACAGTTTATAATACGATCACCAATGTTTCAACTATAATACAATTGATGCTACGTTAATTTAATCGACATGCATCAAGAAGTTTTGGTCGATTAGCGTTGGTATTGTACGCTATGCCATCAAAAACTCGATAACAGTAGAATCCCCTATAACGTAATTAAAATATTCCGTTACCTTGGCTTCACATTTAGGAACTTCGTGCGAAATTCCTCTTTTGAATACTGGTTTAACTTGTGTTAAGTTAGTCCTTTGTTTATATAAATTTCTTATGGAAAATATCACTGTCATAGATATTTTTCGATGACTTTTTACATCGCGTTATAGATTGCTGTATTTGGATTCTAGCAAATAACGTGTTAATAAGTCTCCATCGATATAGGATCTAACGACCGTTCTCCGATCGGACATAATAGTCGAGGAGCCGCAAAGTCTGACGCGCCACCGCCGCTGCCCGTTTGACCGCGCGAGAACCAGCAGCGGAACGGATCAGGCTTCTCGATGACCCGCTTAAACGAACGCCGGGCTAGATGACGTTCGTTATTTACTTATGGACACCAATGATGCTATTAACCCCCTTGTCTTCGCTGCGCACGTATGTAGAACGATGGAACACGCCGTTCGCCTCTTCGATTTCTGCAGCTTTGATCGCGCGAGTCTGGCTGAAAGCCAGACCGGTGTCTACATCACAAAATTACCCTTCTGTGACGATGGAAGATTTAGACTCTCTTCAGATGGTTTGAACATTTTTCACACTTTCCTTAGTTTCATGTTTCCTATGTTTTCAGTGCGGAAATATGTCGCGTTGGCCGCATTAGGTTTATATAGCCCCCTGCACTCGACAGGTGACTCTCAGTCACCACATGATTCGATGCAACCAGACTATAAAGTCTTATAAACAATATCAAGCTTCGTATAACGCATCCACAAGTGAAATATTGAAATAACTTTGTTCCTTAATTTATAATCCCCGAAAATCTACGTACACGAAGGGTTATCCTCAACCGAAACTCCAAGGAAATGCGAAATTGTCTTCGATCGAACAAATGTATCGAATGCATTTCGGTATACGTAGAAAAGAAAGCTTACTGTGGAGGACAAAACAGAGTACAACACTGTCGATGCGTAGAGTGTACTGGACCACGCTGGAACCGGTAAACAGCGGACAGCGTAAATTGCAAAATCCCCCATCACGAAAGCCGCGGGGATCTCAGCCGGTGTCCGTGTAAGCTGCAACAACAAACAACAATCGTATCGGTCGAGAGCATCCGAAATCGATTAATCCGACGCGAGGATGCAACGATCAAGCCTGTAGCCGTTGTCGTTCGCGTGCACACGCGATACGGGCGTTTCTTAGGCATACCGGCCGCGCGCGTCGCAGCCATTATTCCGCCAGGTCGAAACGAAACAGGGGTTACACGAGAATTTCGAGTGGATTTCGCTCCTTCGTCACAGCGGATGGCCCCTGGTCGTTACTCCCCGCGCATAATCCGAGCGCCGGTCCGCCGGGCTCCGGTGTAATTATGCAATGTAAATGAAGTCCATTAACGTTATCGTCCAAAGGCTGGCGGCGCACGCGAGCTTCTGTTTCGTGCGGGCCACGTTCGCTGTTTACAAAATACTGAGAATTTAAGACCGCCTCGCGGTTACCTCGCTGACTGGCTGAGACGAGCGAGTGGTCCCCTCCCATGGCAGCTGATTTTCGCGGAGATCGTTCGCACGTGTTATAGGTACTCCGTGGATCGAACGAATTTAGCTCTACGAGTTTAATCGGACCGATTGTATCCTTTTTCTTGCTTTTCTCGCTTCGCTGTGTTTCGAGTTGCATTTTTACTCGGAAGAAAGATTGTGCAGTAATTTGAGAATATACGTTTCATTAAATAAGCATTAGATTGTATATTGTGCAAGAGAATACGGTAATTTATAAGAATTATTATTTTCCTGGTTTCTAGATTCTCACTCTTTAACACAATAACACGTGAATACGTAAAATTGCATATCCTCGAATTAATCTATGTTGCAATTTTCGAATGTCCAAGTGCTTGCCATCTCATGGTACCAGACGCAATAACAAGTTGTTTTAAATATAAAGAGTCGATCAAGCGATTCCACGATGAAATTTTTCAAAATCCAAAATCTGGGGTTAACCGATTTAGCCGACAAGAGGCTCAGGTTACAAAAGTAGTCGGAAAGTAATAAATCAACAGGGAAGGTATAGAGGATTGCGGCAGCAAACCCCTAGATAAGGACCAGTGGTCGGACAGTGTCCAACTCGGAGACAGCGGCGCAGCGACCGGGTCCAGATAATAATATAGATCGGCTGGTAGCGGGCCGGGAGGTAAACATTTACCCAAAGAGCTCGGACTCGCCGGCTACGAGGCACGAATACCCAGCCGGCTGTGCACCTCTCGGAACCGCGTTCGAACGCTAGCCTCAGGTCGCCAGTTGCCGTGGCCAGCAAAATTAGCCTGGGCCTTTCCCAGACGACGTCTGCCTGGCGGCAGTGCGCTCGTGTAAACTCTAACCGCTGTCTATGCCACGAATATGCACACCCGCGCCGCGAAACAAACCGTTGCATACGGGGTGTCATAGAATTATCGACAGGGACCTGTGACAAGACGATAGGCGAAAACAGAAGAATTCTCGGCGCGCGTCCCTCGCCAACGGAAACGCGAATCGCAATGGAATTATTTCAGCTCGGCGTCTGCCTTATTTAGAAACGCTCCGGCGGAATGCCCTGGGGCGGAGTGAACGAAAGGGTTTTCGGAAACGGCGCGTTCGAATAGAAAAATTAACGATTTGAACTGTAGTTTATCTGTGAGTAGTAACGCCTTGTCTTATAATAAGATGTGAGACTCGCGATGAAGATTTTAAACAGGATTTAACAAATGTAAATATTACTCCATGTTTGTGAATTGAAATTGAATATTATTTGTTTATTATCGATTATTATACAATAGAGGAAATATAGTCATAGGATATACCTAAAGTTTTTCTTTTTTTTCAGTGAATTGTTAATGTCAAAGTAGTTGTGTCGATCATAGAAAAATAAATCATAGCGGTTAAAGAGATTCTGAAAAAGTGGTGATACTGTTTTTGAATTTGATTAGTTATTGTTAACCACACATTAGTGAGAATGAAATAATCTTTTTAGTTTAATTTTCACTAATGAAACTCTTTATGAATTTGATATAACTGAAAAGATACACAGTAAGAAAAACACTCACCTCGAATACGCTTCGTACATGCCGTAAATTCATTAAAATATTTGTCGTCCGTTCAATAGTGTCCTTCAACCTGTACATCCATAAGTCTACAACACTGTGTACACCGTGTGTCGGGTTTCAAAGGGAGCTGACGGATTCCCGATTCTCAGCGCCCGAGGTTTTCGCAAAGAAGCCCGATAAAGGATATCTCAAGCCTGTTCAGACGAGGGCAGCTTTAAGGAAACTCCCAAGGGAGCAGAATTTTTCTCCTCCCCCGGCGTCCAATAGGGTTCCTCCGAGTCGTCTTCGGCAGGGTTTGGTCTAGAGGTGTAGGATATCTTCGCCCCCGTCGGTCTCTGGCAAGCGAGAAGAGCTCAGAAAAGGATTTCCGTGGACGGGGAATGTTAATGCGCCACTCGATTGTGATTCGATTCGGCATTCCCCGGGTTGAATCGTATCTGCAGGTCCGTGGTGTTCGAATTTATCGGATACCGCTTTGATCTGGGGATTTGTTTACTAATTTGCCCCCCCTCCGAATCAACTCGTTTCTAATCTGCTCGTCGGATTTCCCGAAGT